TTACTCTTTTTCCCCGGATACTGCGATACATATTTTAATTTACTGATGGATTAAGTGGAATTTTAATTTTCAAACATGTGGTAGCCCAGCTAAATACAGTTCAGAAATAAAAAATTCTCAAACCACCTTCGATTTATGCACATATTTTAATAATTCATTTCACTTATAAAATATTTTGAATTCAACACTTTTTAAATAGGTGGCGAGCCTCTTCCAACACCTCAAAAATCTTCTTAGAGTTCAAACTAAAGATTTCTTAACATTCCTTCGTTTGACATCCATATTTTGATATTTCGTGTAACTTGAGTATAAGTAAACTAAAGTCGACATTTCTAGCAGGTGGCAACCCACTAAAAAATATTTTAAAACTATTTTCTGAAACCCCTTTCGTTTGGCACCATTTTTTTTTTTTAATAATTTGAATACAATCAAAAAAAAAAATAATTGACAAAAAAAAAAAGGTTGGCAACTCTTTTAAAAAAAGTAAAACCTATTGCACATCTACAGTCCAAGGCTTTTAGCATGACGCCTCATTTCCGAAAATCGAACGAACGGTGCGGATTTGATGGCATTGACTATTAAATAATTTGAATTTAATTTTTGAACAGGTGGCAAATCATTTCAAAAAACCAAAACCAGTTTGCGCATCTGCATGCCAAGCGCTTTAAGTTGATATCCCATTTTTGAAAATCGGGCGAACGGTGCAGATCTTTTATTCCGAACAAAATATGCCTTCGCATGTTATATATATAGATATATATGTAAATAGATAGATATCAATATTTCTAACTTTTTTTGTAACCGACAAGGAAATTTTCTTATGGGGCTGTGAAAAAGTCCGCTGCAACAGAAGTTTTCTCTGCCCGCCCTGTCCTAAATGTTCTACCAGCTTTAGTGCACATCTAATATGCAAAGTTTCTGGCGCTGGGGCTTAATTCGACATACATACATATATCTACAGAGACTTTTGGCTCTGGTGGCCACTATGAGTAGCAGCATAGGGATTTGTAAGCACAATATCATCATGTGCATATGCACACAAGCCATCAAATAGATGTACGGAGGCGGGAAAACTAATAGGAATGTGTTTAAACCGCACACAAAATTAAATGGTGAAAAATTAGTAAAGAAACATCTTTGATGTTTTTCAAAATATCGATGTTTTGCTTAACATCGGATTCATAGAAACATCGATGAACATCGACGCTTGAAGTCACGGCTATCGATGTCGCTCGGCACATCGATCTTTTTTTTTATATCCCTACTTCAAACTGGCACTTTATAGTAGTAATTGGGCTACGAACTGCATACCAAAATTTTTTCTAAAAATTATGATTAAAAAGTTTTCGGACTTACATGGGTTTTGTTAGATAGTAAGAAAAATAACTAAAACCTGTTAAAATATTTGTTGTAGGAACCAGAAAAAAAAACAGTGCGTGCAGAAAACAGCACGCAGGCTGTTAAAATATCGCGTCACTATTAATTTTACTGTCACTATATATGAAAACCCAGAAAGTAGGTTCAAGTAAAAGTTTTCATACTTGAAATTTCCAGCTTTAACGGCCCCGCCAGATAAAAAATATTTTCCGCGTCACAGGGATACTTTTGACTGAGAAGATACACAGAACATGCCGGAATGGCATAATTAAAAATCAGCTGGTTTAAATTCATTGCATCATAGTTGTTTTGTCGCACTTGCGCGCTTCAAAAGTGAAGAGTCGGCCGATTTTTATGAGTTAAGGTAAATAATGATGCGTTGCCAATGTGGCGTCTTCTATTAAAAATCAGAGAGTTAACTTAGATGTCAGTCAAAAGCATCCCTATGACGCAGCGAAAAAATTTCTATGTAGTGGATCTTAATTGTTTGGTTTGTGCTCAAACGAGGGCTATTTGAAAAGTCTGTAACTCTTTGAATAAAAGATATATTTTTCGGCAAAAAAAAGGTTATTTAGTTGAGATGCTTAATACAGCCTCAGCCGAATCACATATTTTCATAGTCGGATATCATTCCATGGATATTATCTGTTACGAGCACAACCAACCTCAGTAAATCGATTTTTAACCATTGAAATTGATGGTGCAGAATCCCCATAGCATTTATCGAGCCTTTCTGTGGTTTCGGTAATGGATTTTTAGGCAAAAAACAGCTGAATCAACATCACGGGGTTTTTTGCTTTCAATGCTCGTTGAGCACGAACTAAACGGCGCAGCTTGCTCAAAATTTTCCAATAGCATACTAATCGATGGCAGTTGACGGGAGCAGCATCGAATTTAAAGTTACTGCTCGCAAATTTCAAAAAGTCATTGACTTTTCAAATCGCCATCGTATTTCAACAAATTTTCACAATCCAAAAATAAAAGAAAATATGCCAAGGCATTCCTCCAATATAATTAGCACACCAAATACATTGCAAATCCAGCTATTAAGCAAGTTTGCGGCATGATTCGTAAATTATCGCCTTAATCGATTTGCGATGGCATAATTGTTATTCTACAAGAATTCCAAGTCAATCAAATTGATATGGTATTTATACAACATTTGCAATATTTTGCCAAAAATTAAACGCATCCGTTGGCGCCTTGACCGTAAAATTTCTTGAAGAAAACTAATAGGCACCCATACGCGTATACATAGTCAATGTGTACATATGTATCTACTCGCAAATGGAGTGAAAGGTGAGCGCTTATTCAAAATATGTTTATCCATTAAATGCAATGAAATGCCACTGTCAGCATTTTGATTGATGTGAAAGGAATTGCTGAAGAAAAAGCGCATAGGTACATATGTAGATCAATACAAGTATATACAAATGTACATATGTGTATCTGAGCATAGAAGTACATTTGAATTTGCATAGAAGATGCAAGAAGAGAAGGAGAAGTAGCATGCAACGAGCTTGGTTGTTGGAGATGCTGTTCAATGGAGTTTATGGAATTAAGATTCAAAAGCGGTTTTCCTATATTTAAAGAATAGTTCCGTTTTTTTGAAATTTTTTTGGACTTAAATTAACCAAAGCTAGTGATTGAGAATAACATTTAGTTAGTTAAATCTACGAAAGCCTCGCTGAACTTAAAAGTATGGCTACTATATATGAGCAAATCTCACGAGTTGCTTTTTTTGTGTAAATTCTTTTGGCATATATGTATATTAGGGTGATCCATAAATGTAGGAAGCAAATTCTTACATCAGATTTCCTAAGCTCAACCGCTACACGACAGACAACGGTTGATGGACAAGCCGATCTGAACGGAGTTGAGTAGCTGCTACAAAAACAACAACAACACGCTATGTTTGTATGCAAGACCCCTGAAAACTATATACAGTAGACTGCATCACTCCCTATACAAAAAAAAAAAATCCTCCATCTTTTTCCATTTGGAATTATAAAATCTATTATATTTTAAGACGTCCAGCAAAATATTAAGATTTACGTGAGCTGGACCCATTTGAAAATACTTAAAAAAATGGAGTTTTTTTATGAATAAAAATAGTTTTTTAAAGATTTTTTTTAAATCCCCTCAAGCGACCAAACGGTTTAAGCGGTTTAAAAAATCTGCACACAAATATTTAAAAAATATTTTCAATGGAATCGTAATAATGAGATTTTTAATGCTTTTTTTTACCTTTATCAAAAATTTGAAAACTGCACCTAAACTACTCCGATTTAGACTTGTGTGAGGTGAGGTATCATGGGAAAGGTATTTTCTCACCCTTTTTATTTCTTTGCTAATAAAGTTATTCAAAGGATGAAACAGAAAGTTAGGATGAACGAGCGTCATTCCAAGTTGAATCAAGAAGTGTTGGTATTTAAAGGAAAAAAATTGAGACACGAATGACTTTTTTTTGCACAGAAATAAAAAGGGGGCGAAAATACCTTTCCACTGAGATCTCATAAGTCTATATCAGAATAGTTTTTGCGCAGTTATTCAATTTTTTCGTAAATCAGTCTTTGAAAAAAGTTAAAAAATACCATCAAAAATCTCATTATTACGATTCCGTTGAAAAGATTTTTAAATAGTTTTATGCAGACTTTTGAAGTTTAACCTGTTTTGGCATCTGAAGAAATTTTTTTCAAAATTTTTTTTTAAGAAACTATTTTTATTAAAAAACAAATTCCGTTTTTATGGGTATTTTTAAATCGGTCCATCTTTTGTAATCCCGGCGGAAAAACCGAAACTTTTTTTGGTGATGCAGTCTAATGTGCAGTGATATTGAGTGCAAGTTTTAGCTCAGTCCGAATTGCAACGACATTCGCCAACTTAAAGGAGGAGAAAAGGGGTTGGTCTAACGGGGAACATAAATTAGTTCAATAATAATTATATATAGGTGCGTACACAGATGTTACTGTTTGGCAGAGCTTTCACCTCGATTTGTGGCGTACGCTTTGTTGTTGTCACACAGAGGGAAAGGACCTACAGTTTTACGCCCACTCCGAACAGCGATTGTATTTTTATGAGAAGCCGTTTTTTCATGGCAGAAATACACTTGTAGGTTAGCCATTGCCTGCAAAGAGGCGACCGTTATTAGAAAAAACTTATTTTGCTTTTTATTTCTTGATGTTACACACATATATCCTAGACAAGTCCCCAATGCTCAATAAAAAATATACACATACACAAATACTATAATAAATGTAATGCCATTTATTTTTCTCTTCCAGCCATCACAAATCAACGCCAGAAGATCGTTCATCAACAAAAAAAAAAAACGGAATCCCTTAAACTTTGACACAAACGACATTTGTTCAGCCAAAGAACAATCATTGCAAAAACTTTGCAAATTTTCTCAAACAAATATCAGCAAAGAAATAAAAACCAGCATCACAATTAAGATATAACATCCTTCTCCTCGTCCATTACAAGTCTTTCAAGAATCGCTGCTCCATTCGTTACTACTCAACAAAATTTTTATTGCCCTTGCCGCTGGCGCTTACAGCCAGCGTAGTTGCGCCGACATGTGTGCGAAATGTGTGGCACACACAACTGTCATTAAATGACAAATGCTTGTCAGCATCAATCAGAGTCGATTCAAAACACAAAAACAACAAGAGAACGAGCCGCACAGTAAACAGCCGCGAGCGGCAATTAAAGGCAAGAGGAATAAGAAGAAGCAGCCGCCGACAAATAAACCTCGCGTGTGGCTTTATAGCAGAGCAGCGCTCGTTAAGTGTATTAGTGGTGGTGGTGGTGGTGGTGTTGGTGGTGACAGCGGCATGGCCATTAGCCGGGGGCGCGGCAATCGCACGCACTCTTGGTTTCTACTCAAAGATTCGGTAATATTTGTGTTGGTGATGTGTGTGCTGCAGCTGCTGCAGGCGCATGCATTAAACAAGCTGGTAATAAACGCAGAGATGCTGCGCGCCAACGCCAGTGGTGGTGCAGACCAGCGGCGGCCCACAACTAATGCTGCGAGTAGCAGTAATGCGTTAAACGCTGTGGAACGCGGAGTAAAACAGCTAATGGAGAAGATATTTCTAAGCGAGAATTTAGTAGAGCAAACCAAAGAAGCGGTTGAGAAATTAGCAACCGTGGGCTCAAAGCAAGCGAGTGCCAGCAACAGTATTAGTAATAGTATAAATAGGAGTAGTGGACGTAGTAGTAGCAACAACAACAACACCAGTAACCACAATTATAGCATAAGTAACAGTAGCAATACAAGTAACACGTCCTCAGTGCCGCAAACCGGCAGCAACAAAACGTTTACGCCAATTAGCGCCAAGCCAAATGATAAATCACCAGCGGCAATTGAAAGTGTCACAAACGATGTGAGCAGCACGAATACACAGAATAGTACACAATTTATCAAAGCTGTTGGCGCTCAGCCACCAGCACAAGTTGACGCAAGTAACCCCTCAGCGAGTGGAAATGCCACCGCCAGCGTAACTGGCGGCAGCCACCAAACGAAACGCATTGCCATCACTATGCCCGAGCATATACGTGAAAATGTTGTGCTCTCCTCGCTGGATCCCGAAAAGGAGGCACAGTTGTTGTACGAACAAACACTGCTGGAGTATCATGGCAGTGTGCAGGCAGCTGCCGCAAGCAATGACAACCCAGCGGCTGCGTCTACTGATAAGCCGGCGTTATTGGGTAGTGAACGTGCAACACCATTGGCAGGCGCATCAGCGGATCGTTTGCCGCGCACTCTGCATGCCGTTTGTGAGGTGTGGACACAGAAGCATTGCCACTGCACGGGCACTTTGGAGCGGCTGGCACTAAGCTGTCGTGGCATAGGCATTGTAGCGGTGCCAGTGGAGCTGCCCGATGATGTTGTGTCATTGTAAGTACGCATAAGTTAAAGGTATCTTTAACATTACAGCTTTGGAGTGAAAGCTGTAGGGGATTTTATGATGCTTTTATGTCATTTATTTGGTTTTTGAATTGCTTGAACTAACAGGGAAATTTTGGCTATGGTAGTTGCGAGTCTTTTGTAAGACAATTAAAATACACTAGGCAAGATAGTTTTAAAAAAAAAAAAGCTCCCTTCCCAACTTTCAAAGCGCCACTGTATCCTGGGACCCAAAATACCTTGAATTGGAAATATTTCGTGGCCATTTAGAGAGGTCCGGAAAGTTTCGATTCGTATCTTGGGCGACCCTAAAGCAATGATCTTGACCCTGTCAGCATTCACAAGTGCAACGGAACCTATCGAGGGAAGTTGTGAACAGCGCAGTTTATATTTTCGGGTAAATAGAACTAGCTCCGTCTTTCTAGGTTTATTAGCAAGTCCGCTGTTTGCAGCCTAGTTCGTAATCAAGTTTTAGCACGCACGCATAAGTTTGCATAGAGTCCCAAAAAATTGTCCTACGACGATGAGTGGCACCTCCTCTACCTCTAGACAATAACACTAGCTTCTTTCGGACGTCGCGCAGTGGTCTTAGAGTGGCAGAAAGAGAGAATTTCGAAACGTGTAGAAATATCGAACTAAGTGGTTCGCTGGATTCTAAACATGTCTATTAACAGGTTTTAAGGATTTTTCTAGCGCTAGCAATTATAAAAGGACACAGGAAGGCAGTGTTGTATGAATAGAATTTTAACGTAGGAATTCGAATATGCATTATCCCTTCTTTCAGATTTATATACTTCTAGGTTAATCTAAGTTAATAGTATAGTGGGCGTGGCAGTAAGCTAAATTCTACCATTTTTCATATTTATTAATTTCTAGGCACGATCCATTTTTTAGCAAAATCGGAGCACATTTACTACTTTGTGCCACATTTTCTATGGAGCTCTTCCACTTTGCGTCGTTTAAGCTTACTTACTTCATGTAAATATTACCCTACCAAGGCAAGCGGAATCTGAAGCCTTTGAAACTCTGGCCATTCCATGCAAAATAGAAATGCGTAAGAAATCGATGGTGGAAGGCCTATCGCTACAAAATATAAAAAAATAATGACTGTTATATGGCCTCTTTCTTCTAATTTTGCCGCATAGAATGCACCGTATTTCATTGAAAAAATTACGTATACGCCTAGATGGCAATAAGCAGCGATGAGATAGGTTTGAGGTCTACACATTTCATTTTTTATTTTATTTTTTTTTTTTTTCATTATAACCAAAATGTACACATTTTTTTGTGAATAATTTTTTATTTCCAAACGTATATTCATTTATCATCTCTCTTATGTCTTTGCTGTTTTTTTTTCGGTAGGTGCAATAACTTCAATGATTATAGTCGCTTTGACTTCTATTTGTAACGCATACTGCTTTTGCTTTGTGTAATAAATTCACTTTAAAATAAAAAAAAATATCCAAAAATCAACAAGAGAACATTTTCACAAAGCATTGCAAAAAGTATAGATTTTAAATTCTCATTTCATAATTCTTCCCCTCTCTCTCGTTAGCCTTTGTTTGAAATCAATTTTACTTGTACTCGGTCTTTGTTTTGAAATAATTTATCACTTTCTACAGGAGCACAAAAACAAAAAAATAAAAATAAAAGTGTGTGCAAACAAAAGCGGCGTTAAAATATTGCAATTTAAAAATGTCAAATAATTTTTTTAGCTAAGCTGAAAGCGCGGCTATACAATTTCAGTTTATTTAAATCGTTATACGCTTGCCGTACTAAATTGTCGCTAAATAAATGCATATTGTAATGCTGAATTTTCAGTGCAAGCCTCAATGCATAAATTAGAATAACGAATTCTATTGAAAAAGCATTTTTTAAAGCTGGTAGAACGCAATGACTGTCACTTGCCAATTTTTGTAAATTTAAATCTACTCTTCAGCGATATTTATACCCGCCCGCTTTCTGAACTTGAATGGCCTTCGGCATAAGTAAGCCGCAATTAATATACTCACGAAACTGTTGGCCAAATATAGTAAAACTGCGTTTTTAGTTGTTCTCTCTGACGTCAGGATTTTTTTTTTGTAAGGACTTTGTAGTTTCAAAGCTGCTATTAACTTCTACCGCTTAGACTCTGTTACCTTTTCCATTCTTCCTTATAAACATAATCCTGATACAAAACTCAAAACAATATTAAAAATAAGAGTGTTTTTCTAACAGCGGTCGCCCCTCGGCGGCAATGGCAAACTTCCGAGCGTATTTCGGCCATGAAAAACAGCTTCTCATAAAAATACCAATGCCGTTCGGAGTCGGCGTAAAACTGTAGGTCCCTCCGCTTTGCATGACACCATCAAGGCGGATGCTACAAATATGTCTTGAATTGAGTTTATTCGGTTTTGATTAATATCTAGATAATCATTATGGCGTTTTCTTTTCAATTCCAGAGACTTGGGCAACAACAACATAACAACATTTGAGGCTAACACATTTTTTATGGTACCAAACCTCGAAGAATTGTAAGTTTTTGAGCTACTTTTACAAACTTAAGTATGTATGTAAATAAAACTAATGGTGAATTTCCACTATGCATTGAAATAGCGAAAAATTGGCGCATTGTAAAATTGCCTTTAAGAAATGAATTTAATGACTACTTTTTTAACGTAAAGACAGGAATAATTTTTAATGCCCAACTTTCTCATTACACTTGCTGCCATTTGACGTCTTGTGGAAATTCAGCATAACTGAAAAAGTTTGGGAAAAAATAGACACATATTAGTTTTAAAAATATTTAAAGCCCTTAAATGAGCTGACCATAAGTGAATCATTGTATCACTACTGCCTGTTTTAGGGCATTTCCGCAAAATTGAGAATCATAGTGAATGAATACACGTAAGCGAAAAATGAATGATTTGACGAATGCGAAAATGAAACTCATGATAAAGCTGATTTTATCTAAATATTTCTAAAAGCACACCCCTACTCTATGACAACTCATAGCGCTGTTTTGCACTAGCACTAGAAAAGCTTGAAATTAAATGCAAAATATTTACCAATATTCTTGACCTACTCAATGTGATTGTAGTTAGGAGGCTTACTCCCTACATTTTTGACTGTTTATACGCATTGACACACATGAGTACTATTGCACTATAGCATATGCCTACCGCGCAAATAAATCATCACACAATTGTTAATTTACTTGAAAAGAAGGTTATTCACAATATACTCTCCACTTAATGCTCTTTTTAAACTCGATTTATCTACTCAACGCCAAATACTATTCAACGTCGCGAACATCACAAGCAAATGCGCTCCCCTTCAACAGACAATTTTACTCTCTCTCTCTCATTGTTACGTCTCCGCGTCGTGCATGCTTTGAACTTTGTTTAGATAAATGACTATATTACCGCATTTCAACACATTGAGCAATTAATTATGTATGTATGTATGTCTATTTGGTAGGGCGAAGATATGGTGGCAAAGTGCGAATAAATAGTCCTGCTGTTCTAATATCTATGCAAATTTCTTCAATACACTTCTGCAATGGTTTATCTACTTAAGATTCTTTTTTTTTCAATCCTTCACAGAACTTTATCCGACAATAGCATCATTAATATTGATCCGAATGCATTTTATGGACTTGGTAAATTGAAACGTCTGAATTTACAAAATTGTGGCCTTAAATCATTGCCAGCGCATGCGTTTCAAGGATTGAAGAATTTAATTTCGCTGTAAGTAAACCAAATAAATAACAAAACACGATAAATGAAGCGAATTTGAAGAAAATTAGAAATGTAAGAATAAAAAAATTTGCATAAATATGCAATACATTGTGCTGAAATGGAAACTGGATATATTAGATACATTTTTGGAAATTTTAAATTTCAGCACAAATTTTTGGTAGTTTAGAAACTGGACGCAATAAATATTTAAAATCTGGAAATACATTTTAATTGCATAAAAGTCGGACAAAAATCTTGAACATTTTAAAACTGTACGTACAATTATGTTAATTTAAAAATTCGAGTTAATTTTTTTTTTGTATTTTATAACTGGACTTCATTTTTGGTAATTCAAAACTTCGGAAAAATATTTGGTCACTTAGCAAATGGACACAATTTTTTGACCTTTTGAAAACTAGATATAAATATGTGGCAATACAAAACTTTCTTAGCAATTTAAAAACTGGACCAACATTTTTGGTAATATAAAATTCGGCTAGAAATTTTAGCTCACTTAAAAAATGGACAAAATTTTTAAGTCATTTTTCACAAATTCAAAAATTTTAGATAATATTTATTTGGTAAATTAAAATTTCGGCAAAAAATTTTGGTCACTTAACAAATAGTCAAAGTTTTTTGATCTGTTAACAACTGTACATAAGTGTTTGGCAATTAAAAATTTTAAATAATTTGGAAACTGGTAATTTAAAAATTCTATACACATGTTGTTTTTTTTTTTGCATGTAATTTAAAAACTGGACTTGCATTTTTTGTAATTCAAAAGTTCAGCACAAGTTGTTGGTCACTTGATAAACGTACATAATTTTGTGGTCCTTTGAAATTTGGACATAAATCTTTGGCAAAATAAAAATGTCTAATAAATAATTTAAAATTTTGCTAGAAATTGTCGATGTTTAAAAAATTGGACATCATATTTGTGTAATTAAATAGCTGTGCATAACTTTTTGGTAATTTAAAAACTGAATATGAATTTTTGCCTATTTAAAGACTTGACACACATATATACATATGTTTTAGTAATTTCAAAATCCTGATATGAGTTTTACGTTATCTTAAAACTAAATAAACTAATTTTCCTTACGTTAAAACTTGGCCATAATTGGTAATTTAAAAACTGGAAAAATTTTTTATTGTTACAAAACGGTTCTCAACAAAAAGTAAGAAATTACTGTTAACGTGTGCCTTCTCGGTTTTTACGGCCCTCATTTTATATCAAAATTTTCAAATTTGGACAGTAGATCTCATATGACCAAAAATGTATGCCCAGTTTCATAAAAACCCAAAAAATATATACCCAAATTTAAGATTACCAAAAAAAAATTTCGCTTGTTTGAATAATTAAAAACTTGTGCACAGAGCGTGAATTACGAAAATTGTATGCCTATTGCCCAACAAATTTCACCAGTTTTGAATTAACAATAAATTATTTTTAATTTTCAAATTACCAAATTTTAAGTTCCACTTTTTATATTACCAAAAAATGTACGTACATGTATGTTTTAAACTGGCAAAAAAATATGTCCAGTTTTTAAGTTACCAAAAATTATATCGGGTTCGTACACTACCAAAAATTACCAAAATTATGTGTTAAGTATTTCAAGCATTCAATGAAACCTCTTGGCACATATGATTTCAAGCTTTGCTTCAAAATTTTTGCGCTGAGTTCAAATTCACGCCCACGTTTAGCAATTACACATTCACTACGGTGGTGACATCACTTCAAAGCGCCCGAGTATATGCTTCAAGCGTTGCAAACCGGCCAGCTACTATTTTCTACTATCACGCAGCGCACATAAAAATTAGTTTTTGCACACAAACACACTAAATGCACTTGCCATACAAACGCAAAAAATTATGAAATTGCTTTAATGAGATTCAAAAATATGTACTTATGCTATTGATATTGTATTTTATTTTCGTATTTTGTATTTTATTTAATTTTGCCTATAATCAATATGTAACTATGTATGACAAAAACAAAAAAAAAAAAGTCAGCTGAATGGCAACGCCTTAGCCAGCATGGACACGGACAGCCTGCAGCATCTGCCAAAATTGCGCACTCTACGCCTCGAGGGCAATCTATTCTATCGGATACCGGCAAACGCTTTGGCTGGATTAGAGGCACTCGAAGCACTGTGAGCTAGTATTTCTTACATACACTCCCCTTTTCTTGCTTACTTCTAACGCTTTCACCTATGCTTAGTTCTCTCTCTCACTTTCGCGCTTGAAAGCACACTATCCTCTAAAATTTTACTGTACTCTTTGTAATTTTCAAAATTGTTTCTTAAATTTGATTTCATTGTCATTTAAATTGCTTACATAAAATGGTTTGTTGTACCCTATTGCTGAGTTAAAAAAAAAAAAAAAACATATTATGTGGTGGTTGTGTAGTCCTGCTTCATTTATAATACTTGGTTTCACATGTTCCACTAAATTTTATGCAATTTTTTTAAGTACATATTTACATACATCAGTATGTACCTTTTACAAAATAAGATTAAAAAATATACCATTGTTTTGCTGTGTATAATCAAAGCTATGTTTTCTATATAAATGTACCCGGCAATTTCCTTCTTTCTTAATTTAAGTTCATTTCAATTCAACTACTAATCACGCCAATGTTAGTTAGAAGGAAAAGTAGTCAGTAGATATGAAAATATTTGCATCACATCATCGAGTAACTGAAAGTGCAAAAATAAATGACAGACTAAAATTAAAAAAAAAAAACATTTAGGAGGAGCCAGTCAAAAAAGCAATCCAAATTCATTGATGTGCCTTCAGTTGCGTGGCGTACTGCATTTTAACTTTACTGACAAACTTTCATTTTGTATAAAATTTTGCAGAAATCTTGGCAGCAACCTTCTGACAATAATCAACGATGACGACTTTCCACGCATGCCAAATTTAGTTGTGCTGTAAGTATCTAAACGTATGTTAAGTTATCTCAATATTGATACAAAATAAAATTAAAACAAAAAAATAAAATTAAAAAACTATATTAAATTAATATAATTTTTTTTTGCGAGAATGAGGGCTTAAAATGCTCAATGCATTGTTAATAAAATAAAATAAAATAAAATAAAATAAAATAAAATAAAATAAAATAAAATAAAATAAAATAAAATAAAATAAAATAAAATAAAATAAAATAAAATAAAATAAAATAAAATAAAATAAAA